GGTGTGGCATAACTCTGGTCACGACAGTTATAATCATGGCATTAGTGATACCGGCACTCAACATGTTGAACAGTTATTACTACAATTACGCCTCAGAGACTATTGTAATTAACACTATAATTACCATTATTATAATTGTATTACAAAATCTAATCTATCTTATTATGTTTAGACGGCGGCCAAAGCTATCATAATTACAGTGGGAGTCGTCTGTATTATAAACCAATGTTTGGGCGTATTTGCGGGTTATAAGGAGCACTTCCAACTGGCGCTGGGATACGGTGTGGTCTCAATACTGTTGACAGTGCTGTGCTTTGTCGGCGGGATATTGATTGGCGGTATTGGCTATTGGTATTTGATGATCCAGTTTGCTGTGTGCGCGGGTTTAGGCTTTCAGTTTACCCGTGAGATACGCCGGTGCGATCTGAACGCTAATCTGGGCCATCAGGCCGTTTACGTCAACACAGGCCTACAGCCCAACGTAGTGTATCAGGTGCCCCCGCAACCCAACTATGTTATGGCCGCACCCGTACAACAAACCGGCGCTGTTTATATAACACCGACGCTGACAGCATCGCAGACAATGCACGCATCGGGCGGTCAAATGATTATTACAACCCCGACGTACGGCCCAACCTCTCAGATGGTAGCCTACCCTAACCCAAACCCCGGACCCTCATATGTTGATCCCATCCACACCCCTCCCACTTATACACAGTCTCAGGAAGATCTACGCATGTCGCAAGGAGGTCTAGCTTTTCGCCCTGATCATTTAAATGAGCATAAATAAGTGCCATATTAAACACAATAACAATTAGCAAGTTGAGTTATTTATTATTTTCATGTTTAAACATAATTTTACATCTAATGTTCTTCAGATTAAATATTGATAGGTAAATTAAAATTATTATGTGATATTTGTACTTAATAAATTCTTATTTTTAAATGTTTATGAAATTTCTTGCTGTAGTTGAATATATTACGATAAAAACTCAAACTTATACCATGGTTTGTTTTTAACTTGTAAATTGGCAGACAAATATACACCCAAAATATACTGTATTGAGTTGTGTTATTTTGAAAGTATTACATTGAATTTCAATTTAGTAATGAAATTGTAACATTTTGTGTTGTGTTACATAACTTATATAACATCCATACAGTTATACAGCATAGGTACGTACAGTTGTATAACTTAATTGTATTTAACAATAGTAGTGTTAAACTTTATATCACAACTTATCACTATTTGTAAAAATTTATTAAACTATTTACATAACATCTATTTCTTAAGACAGCACTCAATCAAATGAGCATGGTGATAATCGTAAAACAGATAACACTGTAGAAATTTTCATTAGCTATTAATATATTATAAGTTATAAATTATTATACATAACTTACTACACATTTTAAATAAATTTTGAAATAAATTATTTAGAAAATAACAATTTTCCAACAAAGAAACAATTTATTTATTGTTTATTATACTGTATAATTTTATGACCGATACTTTTTTAAAAATAGTTATATTTTATCACTGTACTTTAATACAACAACATAATAAAAGCTTGAAAGTAACGCCACTACACTTGACAGGTAATTAAGGGTATTATCAGTGTGCTAGGTAACCATGATAGATTTTCAGAACATCATTGAAATAATAGATTATCTGTTTAGCATTTCACAGTAAAGTATTCATCAAATGCAAATAACATAAAATCGCCCACTTCAATAACTTATTTACTGTATTATGAATTCTAAGTTTCTTAATTGTAATAAATTAGTTTAAAAAATAATACATGACTGTTAAGTTAAACTAGTGCCAACAAATTGTTAAACAAGCTATTTGATATAATTCAACATGAATACTACCGTCACACCTGGTCAGCCGACGCCCATACAAGACAAACGGTTCCGGTACTCAAAATGGTCGCTCTACTCGTGGTGCGGTATATCACTGGTGGTGACCATAATCCTTATGGCAATAATGATACCATTTTATAACGGCATCATCAACGACTCTATATTATATTATCAGTGGTATATCGATGATGCTGTAATTATTTCCATTATATATTTATTATATCAATTAATAGTATATATTATAATAAATTCAGAAATCGGGCAGGGCCATTATTATAACCGTTGGAGTACTCTGTATATTAGCTCAAGGTGTGGGAGTTTACGGCGGATATAAAGAGCACATGAAAATATGTATGGCATACGGGGCCGTATCGGTGGTGTTGACCATCATATCGCTTGTCGGTGCTATAATAACGGGAGGGGCGGGCTTTTGGTGGCTAATGATACAGTTCGCCATATGCGCGAGTGTGGCATTTCAATTCACCAGGGAGATACGCCGGGCCAACTGGAATACGGCTGTTGGCGCCCAACAAACCGTGTATATGAATAATGGCCTTCAGCCCAATGTGGTGTATCCAATGCCCGGCCCTCAGCCAGCGTACGCTATGCCCAATCAAACCGTGCAGCACACTTCCGGTGCCGTTTATATAACACCAACACTGACGGCGCCCAATCAGTCAGGCCAAGTAGTTATGGGGAGTCCGACGTACGCCCCCTCACACGTGGTAGCGTTCCCGACGCCCGGCGCTGCATATGCAGGCCCGACATCGATGCCACCCAATTATACTGAGTCACAGGAAGATATTAGGGGAGCAACCGGTGCAGGACTAGGAGCTGAACACTCGTACACCGGGGTTAACAGTCATGCGAATGAGAACATTGATGGACGAAAAACAATGCCTCAATAAATGTTTACTCATTTATGTGTTTATAATTGAGTATTTGTTTAGCAAATTATGTTTTTATATTGTATTACACTTAATTACTTATACATGTTTAAAAATATTATAAGTAATTAATTCAAATCAGTTTAATTAAATTTAAATGTTTTCTTTTATTATAAATGATAAACATGAAATATTTTTTTATAAAAATTCTTTTTACATTACTATATATTTGACTGTAATTCAAAAACATATTAAATTAAAATTTTAAAAATAACGCCAATTAAATGACAATCAAATATAGATATTATCAGTGTGCTAGGTAACCATGACAGATTCTATGCTTTCATTATATTAATGAAATACTGTACTACAATGTTGTCTAGTATTTGTTATTTTACGCAACAACACAATTACCAACGCCAGTGATTTATTTTCTGTATAATGGAAGTTATATTTATTAAAGTGACATAAATTAAGTAAAAATAATTGATTATTAAAGCTATTAATTTAATTAGTGGCCCTAAACTATCCAATGGCTTAATTGGGTACATTTTATAATGAACATAAAACCAAGGGGAGACAGACGATTCCGATATGTCAAGTGGACGCTCTACTCGTGGTGTGGCATATCATTAGTAGTGACCACAGTAATCGTGGGCATTTTGATTTGGGTGTATGAGAACAACCAATATCACGCTTATTTCGAGTATACTGTAATTATAATTAATCTATTTCCTATACATATTATATAATTTATTACTTTTAAAATTAATACAGTAAACCTTGTTGATATTTACATGCAATTATAACTTAATTTCACATATTTTAAATATATAAAAAAACTACCACAACAGTAATTATGTTGCCTTGAATATAATTAGATCTAGTTTGTTAAATATAATTATAATTAATTAATTAAATGTACAATTACATTAACTGTACAAATAAAAGTTAATAATTGCACATTTATATTCATGTTCTTTGAATTTAAACGCTCAAATAGCAAGATAATTTCTCTGCAAGTAAAGTATATTTCAAATAAAACTAAAAATAATTTGTATGCTGTATAAAAAACTAGTGCAAATTAAAATATTCAAATTGGGTGATATTGATTGAGATAACATACTGTATAATTATATGGAGTTTTTGCTGTAATTAATAGGAAGGGCAGACACAGTCGGAAGGGATTGTCATATCAATTGGTGTGATCTGTATATTAAATCAATGTCTGGGCATTTATGGCTGTTATAAAGAGCACATCAAAATTTGTATCATATATGGGGCCGTATCACTAGTATTGTTTGGACTATCATTAGCCGGGTCTTTGATTGACCGCGCCGTTCCTATTTTTTGGTTCCCAATCCAGTTCGCTATCTGCGCGGGCATTGGCTTTCAATTCAGCCGTGAGATACGCCGGTGCGATAAAAGCGCACCCATTGTTGCACAACAGTTTGTAAATAGGAATAATAGACTGCAACCCAATGTTGTGCATCAAATGCCTGGCGCTGCACTCACTCCAGCAACGCAACAGATGCCCGGAGTAATGTACATACAGCCAACATTTATATTGCCCGACCAGTCAGGACAAGTAGATGTGAACAGTCTCCCATACATCACTCAATTTGATCACGTGACAGCGTACCGGACACCCGAGTCATCACATGCAGGGCCGACACCAGCGCTTCCCACTTATGCTGAGTCCCAGCAAAATACTAACGATTCAAACCGGTAGAGGAGTAGGAGCTGACCGCTTATATACCGGAGCTGACAGTAATTTAATATATTGAAAAACGAAAAACAATATCTCAACGTTAATGATTTATGTGATTTATAATTATATTAAAAATAATGTAGCCTATACGTGTTTTCATAAAATTTAATTAAAATTAGCTATTTTTATTAATCATTTTTGTGTCCTATATATTTTTACAATAATACAAGGTATAATTGTACAGTTAATATTCCATATCTCGAACCCTCTGTAACTCGAAATCCTCTATAACTCGAACTATTTTCAAAGTCCCGATTCACTCCTATAGACACCCCATTATAGAAAACCTCTACAACTCGAACCTCTGTATTCCGAAACGGAAACTATTTTCACAGACCCAATACCTTTCACTGAACCTCAATTACTCGAACTTTTTACTGAATTGTAAAATATGCACACTTTATACAAATGTTTGTGATCATTTTATTATTTGATTTTTAAATAAAATGTAATTGTAATTCTAATTAATATTAATTACAAAAATTGCATTCATAAAATGATGCATAGCAGCACAACTTTGTCAATTAAAGTTATTAATTCTCTATAACTCTAACTTTTTTGTAAATAATTCAATATTTTTTCATAACTCGAACTTTCTATAACTCGAAAACCTCTATATCTCGAACAAACATTTGTGTCCCGACCAGTTCGAGATCGGGAGGTTTAACTGTACTTCAGAAACATCTTCGTAAAAATTTGTAAATAATGCACTTAAATGACAATCAAATATGGATATTATCAGTATGCTAAGCAACCATGATAGATTTTAAGCTTATATAATTGTATTAAAACTGAACAGGTGTAATATAATGTCTATTGTACAGTATATCATCAAATACATTCACCAGTCACTCATTTATTAAGTCTCATCTTATTAAGTATATTGATGTAATCAGTATATTATATAATTGTATTAAAACTGAACAGGTGTAATATAATGTCTATTGTACAGTATATCATCAAATACATTCACCAGTCACTCATTTATTAAGTCTCATCTTATTAAGTATATTGATGTAATCAGTATTTTAGAAAAAAAGTAATTTAAATTGTAAAATTGTTAATTTAAACTAGTAATATAAGTAATCTTATCGTTAGGTTTAATTTATTATTCTGACACAATTTTAAAATGAATACAAACACGACCACCGGTCAGCAAAAACCAATGCTAGACAAGCGGTTCCGATACGCCAAGTGGACGCTCTACTCGTGGTGTTTCATATCGCTTATAGTGACCATAGCGTTCATCGCCTTTTCACTAACCCTGTATGATAACTACTATTCCTAATATTTCAAATTAATTGTAATAATCTATTTATTTACCATAATTATATAGTTTGGAGATTATAATATTTGGTCTAATCTGTGTATTAAATCAATGTCTGGGCGCTTATGGGGGCTATAAAGAGCATTACAAAATGTGCATAATATATGGGGCCGTATCGGTAGTGTTGGCCATACTATCAATTGTCCCTGCTCTAACAGTGATCTCTGTTTTTTGGTGGGTAACTGTGCAGTTCGCTATCTGCGCGGGCATTGGCTTTCAATTTAGCCGTGAGATACGCCGGTGCGATAATAACGCGTCCATTGTCTCACAACAATCCGTGTATAGAAATAATGGACTACAAACCAATGGTGTGTATCAGATGCACACCGCTGGTCAACAACCAGCATATGTTATACCCACTCCGGCGATGCAACAAATGTCTGGAGTAATGTATATACAGCCAACACTGATCGCACCCAACCAGTCAGGACAAGTAGCCGTAGCGAACCCGTCATACGGTACACCATATGTAGGTGCCTACCAGACCCCAGGGCCCTATTATGCAGAGTCGATACCATCGCCGCCCACCTATAGTCAGTCCCAAGAAGATAATGGAAGTAGAATTGGAGGCGAGCGCTCGCATAGGACTGATACCAGTTTAAACGGAGATATTAATGAACAAAAAACAACACTTCAATAAATATTAATTTTATGTATATTATTAATGATTACTTGCCGTAATTAACACAGTATTATATTATGTACAGTAAAGTAGAATTGTAATAGCATTATAAATATTGTCTAATAATGTCTAGTATTTTGGGGCCATAATAGTACCACGGCTTTACTTGTTTACTTTAATATACATTATATAATATGTGTGTTTATAAATATGATAAGTGTGATTCCTACTGACCTGCTGATTTATTCCGCATGACTTTTTTTGTTTTAATTAACGGTATAATTATGTCTGCAATTAAAAAAGTACAATAAAAATGCACTTAAATAACAGTGAAATAATAATATGATCAATATCAGGTTGCTAAGTAACAATGATAGATTTTAAACATCATTAGAGTACCGTACCATAGTACAAATTTGTTTGGTGTTTGTCATTAATACCAATACGGTTATATATTTATTTTTCGTATAATTCTAGTATAATTGTACAATATTAAGTACTTCAATTATTAATTTTAAATTAATTTAATTATTAAGACTGCCAATTGTTGCCCCTGGTGTACTTTCAAAATGAATACAAACACCACCACTAGTCAGCAAAAACCGATGCGTGACAAGCGGTTCCGATACGTCAAATGGACGCTCTACTCGTGGTGTTTCATATCATTTTTATCCACGACAGTGATCATGGGCGTTTTAATATCCCTGTATGATAACTACGCTACCTACTATCACGGCATTGCTGTAATTATAGTCACAATTTATTTATTAAAATATTATAGATTATAATTTGTAAATAATATTTAAACAAAATGACAGGACACGCTTAGAGAGATTATTATATCAATTGGTGTTCTCTGTATATTAAATCAATGTGTGGGCACTTTTGGGGGCCATCATGAGCATTTCAAAGTATGCGTCATATATGGGGCCGTATCGGTAGTGTTGACCGGATTATCACTAGCCGGTACTTTTATGGACGCCGGTGTCCATGTGTGGCTCACTGTCCAGTTTGCTATCTGTGCGGGCGTTGCCTTTCAATTCTGCCGAGAGATACGTCGGTGCGATAATAACGCATCCATTGTTTCACAACAGTCCGTGTATATGAATAACGGACTGCAACCCCATGTGGTTTATCAAATGCCCGGCGCTGCCCCACAATCGGCATATGTTATACCCACTCCAACAATGCAACAAATGCCTGGAGTGATATATATACAGCCAACGCTGATCCCATCCAACCAGTCAGGACAAGTGGCCGTGGTTAATCAGTCATACGCTACACCGCACATGGTCACCTATCCGACACCCGGGCCATCTTATGTTGGGCCCATATCCTCGCCGCCTGCCTATAGCCAATCCCAGGAAGATAACAGGGATGCGCGCGGGGGTGAAATTGGTGGTGAGCACTTGCCTGATAGCAGCGTAAACCAGAATATTGATGAACGAAAGACAATACCTCAATAACAATTTAAATATTAATGTATACTGCATTATCAATTATTAATTATCGTAATTAACTCAGTAATGCAATAAAATTATACTTATTTTAAATAAGTTATTTACTTTATAGTAAGTATGATAAGTAAATGATTCACAAACTTAAACTAAAATTTATTATTTTAATATTCCACATGATTTGTTTTTTGTTATTTGCATTAAACAGTATAATTATAACAGCAATTAAACCATAAAATAAAAATAACAGTGAAATAATGATATTATCAATGCTAGTATTCTAGGTTACAGTGACAGATTTTAAGCATTCATAACATTTAAAACGGTATTTATTACAAGTTTGTATTCAAATGCAAAATACAATCACAGCATTTTATATTTATTTTCTGCATATTTAATGCATATTAAGTTATTAATGAGACATAAATTCAGTGCTTTAAGTAAATAATTAATATGATTATTAAGATTGCTAATTTAAACTATTGGTAGTAAGTAACTAGGGTAATAGTTCCCCCTAGTATATTTAACATGCCTGGTTTAAACAGCAATACATACGTGACAACTGGTCAAAACTGGCCACAACCAATGCGAGATAAACGGTTCCGATACGCCAAGTGGACACTCTATTTATGGTGTTTTATATCATTTTTGTCCACAACAGTGATCATGGGAATTATAACATCGTTGTATGAGGACTGTTGTAGTTACAATTACTACTATAACACTGTAAACACAATTAATTTTTTAGTATAATATTATATAATTAACGATAGTTAATATTTTCAGAAAGATCCTCAAATTATTGTTATAACAATTGGTGTGATCTGTATATTAAATCAATGTCTTGGCATTTATGGCGGCTATAAAGAGCATTACAAAGTGTGCATCATATATGGGGCCGTATCTGTAGTATTGACCGGTCTATCATTCGCCGGTGCTATAATAGATGCCGGTGCTTTTTGGTGGCTCTTTGTCCAGTTTGTTATCTGCGCGGGCGTAGGCTTTCAATTCAGCCGAGAGATACGCCGGTGCGAGAAAAACACTATTGTCTCACAAATGCCCAGGGATGGGGATAGTGGTCCGCAACCCAATGAGATGCCCGGTTCTGGTCAACAATCAATATATACTATACCCACTTCACAAAGGCGACAAATACCTGATGTAATGTATTTCCAGCCAATATTGATCGCACCCAACCAGTCAGCACAAGTAAATGTGGACAACTCGTCAAACACCACACCGCACGTGGTCACCTACCCGTCCCCCAGTCCATCTTATGTTGGACCCACATCATCCTCGCCCACACCATATTCAGGCGCAACCAGTTTCAGCAAGATATGAGGGGTGCGATTAGGGGCTGGGACTCTCATAGCCACAATATTGATGAGCTAAAGGAAATGCATAAATTAATAATTTATAAATTTATTATTTATTATTATTTGTAAATTAATGGTTGTTTTATTAATGCAATGTTAGTGACTCTAGACATTAATACCTTAATTAACATTTAATATTTTAAATTTCCATAAAAATAATTATAATCAGAGTATTTGTA